GATAGATGTTCTATTTTTGATGTAAGTTTGGGTGTACAATAACTCCAACTTGTAATTATCAAATTATGATAAAACCGATTTCGGTCTAAATTTGCGCAGAAATTATTGTGAAAGGACTTAAGGACAGAACAGAACACTTTCAAAAAGTCACAACAGACATTTAATTTAAAAGGGGGCTTTTTGTGGCACTACATAACTTGTAAGCAGAGGAAATGGCAAAAAATGGACTAGTTTTTTGTTGTCTAATAAATTTTTGGAAGGTAAAAATTGTCAGCTAAAGTAGTTGTAGGTTAAAGTGTGACAGTTCTTCTTCTTTTTCATTAGTACTGTAAATTCTTTAGTTATTTAAATTTTACCGACTTTATTAGTTTACATTGTAACATACCCCTTAAATTGATTAATTAACAAATAATTATTTATTTTTAAGGTAATGATAATAACTTTATAGTTAAAGTTAGCTACATGTTACGATAAATACATTCTATATACAGTTATTAACGTTAATGATAGAAAGTAATTATGTCATAAATTTTGTTCATTGCAGTGAAATAAAACCTTTGGTTTCGGAGTTGTACAAAAACGGTGTTCATTAAATATTACAACACTTAGAATTGAAGTAAAAGAGATCGTCCGGGTAATCTGTACTATGCGGAGGAAACCATAAATTTTAAATATTTCAAGGTACATTTTTTTTGCAAAGTAACAGCAGAGTTGCGCCACAATATTTAAAGTGTTATCTTCTTTAAATATTTAAATACCTATCAACACAAAAAAAGGATATTGCAATCCTTATTAAGATTAAGCAGAAAGCTGAAGGAAGAGAAGAGAGGAGAAGGAAACGAAATCAAAAAAGATCATGAAGATTTTCGAATGAGGTCACAGTGAACATGATAGATCTTGTTATTTTTAAAAAAGTTATAAAAATATGTAAAATATTGAAAATAGAACAAAAGGAATACAAAATATAACACAAATATACCAAAAAAAAAACGAAAAATAGTTGTTTGAAGAAAAATATCGTAACCTAATACCCGACGTAACCTAAATTTTACGAGAAATAAACCACACATGTGTGTCAGCAGTTTTTACGAAAACTTCACCGTCACACATGTGTGACGGTTGGTCATGAATGTATTAAAATACTACGTCAAACTCTTCATTTAGAAAAAGCATAAGATTACTTTGGACCAAGCAGTATTTTGACCAGTGAGGAAGAAGCTATTTTACAAGAATGAATATTGTCATGTTACAAAAAGGGATTTCCTATTAGGACAGTAGATATTCAAGCTTGTGTTAAGAAATTTGTATACGTAAAAATCCATTTAAGGATAATTTGAGCGAAAAAGATGGATATCGGGGCTTTCTTAAGGCCATGAAATTTTCATTCACCGAACACCAGCATCAGTTACTTCGGCCAGTTCAGACTTTTCAGAAGGAGATGTTCGTAAATGAATTTTTTTAATCCAGGAATATTTAAAAAGTAAAAATTTAGATTACGTTCTGCAAGACCCAACTAGAATTTTTAATGGGGATAAAATATGTTTATATATGTGCCCAAATATTATGCCAGTTATTGCGTTTAGTTTCACCCTTGCTGTATACCAAAAAAAAGGAACCTGTAAAAATAATAATTGAAACTTGTTTTTATTTATTTTTCATTTCCTGTTGAAGTTTATTATTACTGCAGTATACTTTTCCAAGAAATTTAATCGAATAGAGACCAAATGAACTCTTTGTAGCATTTCTCATTTTTTGCTTTATACATTATAAATAAAACAATATGGTGCACACTAAAATACTCATTAAGCATTATGTTACACAAACCTTTTTATTATTTTGCTCCAGTTTTGGGACCTCTCGACAAGCACCTACGACTAAATCTCTTGTAATATGGTTCGGTTAATTGCAAAAATTGTTACACAATTAGATACCTGGCTTTATACGGTGACTGCTTTAAAATTATAAAGACCGATAATTGCTAAATAATATTTTATGGCTCCCGATATGGATTAAGTAGGTACTTTCGTGACAAAATTGTAGCGAGAGTAAAGATATTAATTTTAAAGTCATTTGTAATTTTTAAAACGGATAACATCTCGTAAGTGGTATGTAAAACGATACTTATTGGTTGACAGTTTATTACATAGATGTTGCTAGTGATTGGTATAAAAAAACATTTCAGATTGTATATTTAATACAAACTTACACGTAATTTTGCATGGGTTTAACGATTTTTTTAGTTAAAGAAACGCTTAGGCTAACGAGATCTAACTAGGTAACCAGGCAACTGGTTGTTAAATAAAAATAGAAACACGTCAAAGAAAACAAGAATGTCATACCTTCAGTTTAGAGAGGAAGTGAGAAACAAAAAGAGAAATCATACGATTTCTACCTGGCGAAATCGAATTCAAATATAAGCCGCCGTGCCCCCTAAGACTTGCGAAGCAAACAGCTTGATGAATGCATCGGCAAGGGAGTCTAAAAATTAGAAGTGAGAAAACTAGAAGTGAGAAACATTTATTTGGTCAAACAAAACGGCCAAGCAGAAAAAAAGTTGTTGCGGAACACAACTTGAAAAAAGAAAATAAGCGGGAAAGCAAGCAAAAAACGGTCATCACCTGATACACATGTCAGGAATGTAAGGGGAGTAATGGACAGCCTATTGGGTTATGTGTTACACCCTATTTTGCTGAGTGGCACAGAAAAGACAATTAAACTTATGTTTCATTTTTTATTGGAAGACATTTTTATTTTTGTTAATGTTAAAGACATAAATGATTTTTTATAAGTAGTAGCTAACAATATCTATGTCACATATTTGTTACACTTGTGTTATGTTCAAATTTTTATTACTATAAACCAGTGTCACACATGTGTACATTATCCAAAACAATTTTTTTTATAATCCTTGTTCAATCATAACACTCCTCCCCAAAAATGGTGGATTTGGCATGTTTCTTTCACGTATAATCACAATCAGTTTGACTGGACAGACCTAAAAATAGGTTAGTCGCGAATGTGTTATATATCTGGGAAGCTTTTCTTGCTTTTTGTATTGTGTACCCCCTTTTACTATAAGCACTTACAAAAAACCCCTATGTACCTAGATTAGAATCACTATATACAATTTTACCAATAAAATATATTTTTACATTTGTAAAATACACCCATGTAAATACACCGAATAGATTTTAATTTTAGTATTTAAGTCAACGTATTGATTTGTTTATACTAGAATAAATGATTTATTTTCTCTGTTTCATATTACAGGCTCAATTTTTTCGTTTTGAGTATGCCTCCGACTTAATTTTGTGGAGGATTTTCTTTACATTGTTAACTCCCTTTTCATTAAACCATCGTAATTAATGATTACTATATTTGCTTTATACAAATAAGAACACCGACCTTTAATAAACACATTAAGTGCTGCTTGATTATGCAATGTTTGTTCTCACCCGATAAGTTCAAACAAAAAAAAATGCAAAACCACTCTCACCTCAATATGTTATAAGCTAAAACATGTAATTATTACTGATACAAGTCCACTTTAATTACCATTTGCTGATATGTAGATTGTTATTATCCAACAACATAAGATTGTCCTGTAGATGTCTGCCTACGTCGTGTACTTTTGACTATCTTGATTTTTTTTTGTATTAATATCACGACGACAATTAACATAGAAATCATTTATATATTAAGAAATGCATCAGGTATAGGTGGTAATGTTTTATTTAGGTAATTTATTGCTATTTACTAAAATGTTAGTTCTTCTTATTCTTCTAGAAAATTTTATTTTGTTCCAGTTGTCTTTTTATCTAAAAGGATTAGTTATCCGTGATCCGTAGATCCGTGAAACATAGTGAGAGCAGTTGAAACTAGCTAACAATGTAGGTGTAAAAACATTTAGATTACGTGAAAATCATATTAAATTGTAAAATTGTTATGCCACAAGGTAGATGTTATAAGATCTTTCTTTAGGGGAACATACATTGTCACTGTGTCACTGGACGTTAATAAGGTAACCTTCACATATTTAGTAATTTAACAGTCAAAACTTTAACTTATATATTACGTTTGTATTATTTTAACGTGGAAATACTTTTAGGTTTCACACTGATGACCGTCCGACTGGACAGAAAATGTTTTGAAAATATTTGTAATTCTTTTGGATAAATTTTAATAAATATTTTAATAATACGCGCATACGTCAGAAGTTTTTACTTCTTTGTGAGTTTTTTTAAAACTACATATGGTATACAGCCAACCACTGGAATTTTCCCTTTTGTTTTTTATTTACTAATTACTGTTCCAAATACTGAACAAGACCAAAAATTATTAATCCTTAATAAATAACCAATCACTGACGTGTAAATGATAGTTAACAATACAACTATGTGTTTAAAAATCAAATACTTAGGCAGTTGCGTTAACATAAATATTGAACAATAATTTTCAGTGGAATTAAGACCACGAATTAAAATTGCATGTAGCTTATTTATCGGCATGAAGCAAATAGTTTATTTAAGAGTAGAGCAAACTTATGGTAAATATAAATTAAAAATTGTTTTTGCTTTGGTTGATGGCATCAAAATGCCATCTGCCATCACAGCTTACAAAATTATGGATTTATCACTCAATGAATTCACTTAAAAAGGGAATTTTTACCACTATACTATAGTTACTACATAGGTAATGTCCTATGTTCAAAATCTTGAAATACTTTCTGTTGTATGTCGCGAAAATTTAAAAATTATAATAAGTTAATATTCCAAAGGTTAGATAGGGTTAGGAATATTAGAATTTAAGGAATTATGAATGTTAGCCATACAATAACCGAAAACATTAAAATGAACAGAGTGGATTAATGCAAAGAATGAGGGATGAGGGAAGATCGTTACCTAACCAGATACTATATTGCATACCACGAGATAAAAGAAAGACAGGAAAACCTGGGCTAAGTTGGAAAGAAAGCATTGGCGGAAAGATAAGAGACGGAGAATAATTAAATTTTTAAAATTTTTTTATAATATTTAAAAATATATACAAATTCTCAGGTTTACGTTTAATATAAATACTTATTACAAACAGGACAAATGTTGTTTAATGGTAATATTTTGGTTTTAACAGGATAACCAAAATAACTTATTAAAGTAGTTCGTTGCTCGCAACTATTTCTTATATTCGATATGTTTTATATTCTGTGGTACACCATTTATTGTCTTTGATCTTAGAACATCATTTTCATACTTCATAACTGTCTCTTGTCCATTTTCAACTACTTTCGTGGTTGTCACTTTTTTACCATTTACAATTTTTGTCGATGTTGACACTTTTTTCGTGTAGGAACCATTTGGGGAATTGCTGCAAGTAAGAGGTAGATATATTAGTATGGTAGTATAAAAACAAAAATGGAATTTACTAACTATTTTTACGAAAATAAGATACAATTTTACTTTAAATCAAATAAAAGAAATAACATTGTTGAAATTTGTAATATGAGAACGAGTTCCGAAGTTGAAACTGAAATGTCAAAATAAATTTATTTTAAAGTATGCATAAACTATTTCCATAGAATGATCACAATTCGCAGTTTTCATTTATATACTACATATTTAATCAATAAATCGTAAACCTTTCTATCAAAAGAAGAGACAAAGGTTGGAATATCAGCTGGTTAAGGAAACTTTAATTGAACTAATAAGTTAATAAATGATAATATTTTATTAGGCATAATGTTTAGGAAATTTAAAGAATATATGATTTAAATCCGCTAGTCTAGAGTAAAGTCTTACTATCTATTACAAGAATAGTAAGGCAAGTCCACCTTGTATTGATCAGGCACTATATAAATGATCAGGCAAACGGTTATAATCTCGTTTCAGTCTTGTAACGATAAACTTCTAGAATTTGCCAATTGGGTATTCAAGATCAGGAATGGTTTTCTTCTTCTTCTTTGTCAACAATTTTCCATCCACTCCTGAATGTAGGTCTCTCCCAATTGCTTCCATCTTTCTCTAATAGCGCGATTTTTGCAATTTTTTATAATTCTCATGACATCAATACAAGGTATTCCGGACACTATGGAATTTCTATAACTAGAATCTGATCTGTAATATCTATAGCATGAAATTTTAGTTTAAGTTTTGGCAACAAATGCGAGCATTTGAAATATGCTTAAAGAATGCTGAACTTTCAAATTACAAACGATATAGAACGTTTAAAACTTTTTTTTTAAATACACTAGTACGTTTTTCGAATGTACTTATTTTCTGCTATAAATTACAGCCAAAACCGTCTTCTTGAAGGCATTTTCCGTGACGTAAGTTTGTTTGTAATGTAAAATATTAAATTCAGCGTTTTAATCATTTTTCAAATGCCTCATATTTGTTGCCAAAAATCAAAATTGAATTTTCATGTTATAGGTATTGAAGACTGGTCTCCAACAATGGAAATTTCACTACGACCGGTTAATGAAAGTAATACATTTTACTGATTTCATGAGAGTCGTAAAAAGTGGCAAAAATCGCACCGTTTATGTATTCAACAGCTTTATAGAAACTGCAGAATAATACACAAATTTCGCACGAAAGCTGCATCCTTCATCTTTAAAACGCAATTTGATTTTTGTGGATAGGACACAAAGTTGGTGGGTTGATACAAATTTTATTTAACATTGATTTCGTGCGCGGAACAGTCATTCAAAATCGCCGGTCTCTTCAAGCGTTGCTTCTGAGAGAATGGCTTAGTCTACATAAAAAGTTCTAATAAACACCCAATTTTATCACCCAAACGCATATAATTTTATTAGATAATTAAATAATAAATACATTACGCATTATTTAATATTTTTTTTGTTCCAGGTAAGTTACTGTACTCCAATTGCAGGTGAATTGGTAAGAAAATCTTAAGTTATTACTTTATATTTAAAAGAATATTGTAATAAGAATTTCTTTTTAAAAAATATACTAGATTTTTTTTAAATAGGCCTTATCATGGAATATATTGACAGAAGTAATTTCTATTTTAATGGAAATAAGCCACAACTGAAGGTTAAAATAAGTTTATTGACGTTTCAATTTCCACTTCGGAAATCGTTCTCAAAATAAGAAGTGGAAGTGGAAATTAAAACGTCAGTAAACTTATTTGGAGAGGAAGATGGCACATGGAGAATCAGGAGAAACGACGAGGTTAATGAGTTAAATGAAGGTTATGACATTGTAATATTTGTGAAAAGTCAAATACTGTCATGGCTGGGACATGTGCAGAGACAAAAAGATGCAAAAACAACAACGAAAATGTTACAATGGAAGCCCATAGGAAGGCGAAAAAAAGGAAGGCCCAGAACGAGATGGTTGGATGACATGGAAGACGACCTGAAAACAATGAACATAAGACAATGGAGAAGAAGGGCACAAGAGAGATCTGAATAGAAGGACATAGCCAGACAGGCAAAGACCCATCCAGGGTTATGATGCCAAAAGAAGAAGAAGAAGAAAACTTATTTTAACCTTTAATTGTGACTAATTCCCATTAAAATAGTAATTACTTTAAAATGCCACAAGAAAATAGCTTCAGAACAATATATTGACAGAAATTGCAATTTTTTTAATCCCTCCAGCATATAAAGGCAAAACTACTATCTTCCTTAATACTACTTTCTAGATACCTACTTTTTGTTACAATGCGATCAATCGTTACTCTATTTTGTTTTTTTTTTGCTTGATTCACTGGAGTCGGGATGGATTTAAAATATATTTCATGTTACCCCTTAATACTCGCGCTGTTATAATAGATAGACAATGCTACTGTTGTTTCACCTTGAATTCTGATTGCCTCAAACGAAAACTGTTCCTATTTGTCCAGTTTTCGCTCTTTCGTGGGGTTATTGTAGCATTTTCGTTAAACCACCCCGTCTATCAAAAACACACCGAAAAAGGTTTTTATTATTTTTTATTCTCTGATATTAATAATGTAAACATTTTGGGGTCTGTTTATAGTACACCAATTTCTTTTTCTATTGATTTTGGTTCCGCCTAGATATTTACGCTGGAAATAAATATGAATCTTTCCACTTAGGTTGGTGAGAAAATATATGCTAACAAAAGAATGATTTTGGGAGAATGATGTCATTTGGCGATAAAGCGCCATAAGAGGCGGGCGCTTTCATTGTTTAAGTCTGAATTTTGACATAGAGAACTCGATAATGTAACAGTCAAAGAGAATGACTTAGGGTCTGAATGAGGAGAGGAAACATCGTTCTCGGAGAGTTTTGAAAACCGACAGTTTGGCTTAATTCCTGAGTTTTAGTTAGAAAGAGGGGACTTAGCTCGAAATGCTATGTGCAGTCTTTATATAGTGAATTAATCATCTTTTTGTTAAAAGCTGTGTCATTGTGTCAAGAGAGTTGATAACCAATCGTTTATTATCGTTATCGTTTTATGGATAAGCTAATTGTCATATTTAAGTTTTTTTTTTAATAAAATTAATCTTGATAATTAATTATTAATTCAGAAAAGTTTGATATTTCATTTCGACATATGACAGTTAGTAAATCTTTTCTGCCATTTGGTACATAACTATATATTTAAAGTCTTGAAGTTTTGTTTATTGTGTTTTGTTAGAAGGTTTAATAATAAACGTTTGTTGATAAATTTAGATATTTTTATTTGTAATAACTGTTTATGTGAAATAAAAATAAATGTGTAATTTTTCTCTTTAAACTATGAGTTAAAAAAACATTTCTTTTTAAAAGATATTCACCCTGAAAACATTTTTTTGTGACCAAAAATCTAAATCTTTTTTTTTCTAAACAGCAAGGGGATTTTTTTTAACAGTGGCCTAATTTTAAATAATTTATAAATCGTTCTCTTTAATATTTGTCCAAGACATGTCCGTACGTATCTTTTTAATTGCTTTTTCGTAGTTAGTTCTCTCAGCCCCGCCCCAAAAAAAGAATCCTCATCCACGATCTAGCTCTCTAACCAAAACACAAGTAGCCGTTCGAAAACATTTGAATTTATTTGCGTACCCCATCTCCAAGACCAGTGATTGTTCAGTTTCCCCTTTTAGCCCCCTATAAGCAAATTATAATTATTATTGTTACAATCCCACCCTTAAGGTGGAATGCGAAATGGTTTTTTTCATTTAACAATCCTATCTACCTAACGATATTAAAAGTTTTGATGTGTAATCTTGATCCTTCGCAATTCCAATCCAAGATTGTATTGTTGTTCTCTTGGATCATATGACAACAAGACTATGGTACTGGATGATCTTGCAGACAAATGCTAATCTTCTACTAATTTTTAGTTAATCTCTTAACTAATATCTAAAACAGACACAGACTAATATCTAAAAATCCAAATGCTACCTATCATATCCAATTTTTTTTTCACATATCCTCCCTGGTCTCTCATGTAGAAAATAATATAGAAAGCTGCTTAACTTGCTGATAAAAATGGAAGGTGAGTCTTGGAAGTATATCTCCAATAATTAAGCCAGATTCTTAAAACAATAGGTAAATATAAATGCAGCGAAATCGAAGCAACTAAGAGCAATGATTGGAAAAAAATAAGATGAAAGCAATAATAAGTTCTATTTACATTCAATATTGAAACTAGATGTGCTGCTAATATAACTAATAGAATAGAACTAAGATTTATACTTATACAATAAAGGTAAAGAGAAGAAGTTGTAGATATATGCTAAACAATCGACTAGATGAAGCACATAACGACAACGTCGCATATAATAGGACCATAAGAAAAAGAATACCTTTAGTATTATTACTATTCTCGATTATTAGAAATGATTATTAAATGATGAGAATGAATCATTAAATTATTAGTTTTTTTATATTTCGTTACTTAACCTTATCTAGATCTTCTTCTTCTTCAAGTTCCACTCCTATCGGAGATTGGAAATCATTCTGGCAATTATAATTTTATTGGTTACTCGCCTGAATAGTTCAATTGAACTGCATCCAAACCACTCACGGAGATTGCGTAGCCACGAGATTTTACGTCTTCCTACGCTTCTTCTACCTTTGATTTTACCCTGCATTATATTCCTTAGTAGTTCGTACTTTTCACCTCTCATGATGTGCCCCAAGTATTCCAATTTCCTGATCTTTATGGAATTTAAAACTTCGCATTGTTTTCCTAGTTGTTCGAGAACTTGTTCGTTTGTTTTGCGATCCATCCATGATATTTTCAAAATGCGTCGGTAACACCACATTTCGAATGCTTCTAGGTTTTTAATGTTGGATTTTTTAAGTGTCCAAGCTTCAACTCCATACAAAAGGGAGAGAAAATATAACATCGAAGCATTCTTATCCGGAGCGATATATTGATATCGCGATTACAAAAAAGTTTTCTCATTCTATTAAAAGTTGACCGCGCAATTTCAATGCGGCATCTTATTTCTTTTGTCTGATCAGTATCTTCTGTGATCCATGCTCCAAGGTATTTGTACGAAGATATTTGTTCAATTTCTGTATTATCTAGTACTAGCTTAACTTTGATGTTTTGTGCTTTTGTAAATACCATGAACTTGGTTTTCTTCAAATTGATTTTTAGTCCATAATCGTTGCAATATATATTTAGTTGTTCAGCAAGGTGTTGCAGTTCTTCTAGTGTTCCTGGCAAAAGGACGGTGTCGTCAGCATATCTTATGTTATTAAGTGGCTCACCGTTTATTATCTAGATCTACACACAAATAAATATTTAATGTTATTATTAAATTTATTTATAACTTACCCAGATGAACTAAAGGAACTTTCCATGGAACTGAACGCCGTCCCGAAATTTTCTCCTGGCTCTGAAAAAAATCCATCAAGGAAACCACCACTCATGGGACTAAAAAGCGACATACCAGTACTGCTGCTGGGGTTATTACTACGATTATATCCCGGTCTATTTTTGCTTCGATTAGATAAAAAACCTTCGCCAAAAAAGTCGAAAATACTCGATCCAAAAAATTCACGGAAAACTTCTTCGGGATCCCTACAACAGATATTTTAATATAAATTATTGTGATTTTAAGAGACTGAGATTGTGAGAATTATATTCTTATAATTTAAATAAGTAAATACCTATAGCAAAATTCTGAGATTAAAGAGGCAAAACGAAGCAATTTTCCTACATATAGATGTGTTTAATTATTAACAAAAATTTACCTGAACGTAAAATGAAAACCATCTCCTTCAAAATCAAACAAGTTCCCGAAACTGGGCGTTGATGCTCTTTCAGGATTTACAGTTCCATATTTATCATAAGTTCTTCTTTTTTTACCATCCGACAAACCTCGTAAGCTTCTGAAATCTCTCGAAATTTCTTAGTTGCTTCTTCTTTATTATCCGGGTTTTTATCAGGATGCCACTTTAGAGCCAATTTCTTATATGCTTTCTTTATTTCGTCGGTAGAAGCATTTTTGGAAACTTTTAAGATCTTGTAATAATCTGACATAGTATTGTCCAGCAGAAGCGGGTTTCTAAATTTATTAATTTTTCATGGAAAAGCAATTTATTTGTCTTTTCCAAATACACGTCAAAATATTTGGCGTTTATTTAGAAATTAGACTTATAATTTCAAAGCGTATGTAACAAGTTTAACACAACTTAACCTCGGTGGTTAAGTACTTAGATTCTTCCTTGGAATGTAGAGGGTAGGAAAATGAATGGAAAAAATTTAATCATTGAAGTGATTAAAAATAGTGTAAAAAACTATTGTATAAAAAAGAGAACTAAATGATGCTGTCAAAATTATGTATTTATTTTAAAATTAACAATGTGTCAGTTACTATCGATAATAATATTGAATCAATACCTTGATATAATTTCACTTATGTTATCCAAACGTATCATAAACGTCATTTAAACTCGATTAACTGATCCGTGTCCCAACCATATAGAAAATTTAGTATTATTTTTTGTCACGTTGCTTAAATTTTGACCGACTGTCAGTGGCTGGAAACTACTATAACAGACAAGTATATGGACATGTACATAGACATCATAGCATCGAGTTAGTTCGTATAGAAAGTTTTTAACGACAATATTTAATAAATATACAGTTTTATTATTCATGATTATTAGTATTTTTTCAGTGAAAGAAGTCTATAATACAGTACATTAAGTATTTGATTAGATATTACCCACTATGTGTAGTGCTAAAATCGGCCACATTGTCTCTCCAATCCACTTAATTGTAATTCTCCGACCCCTTCCGACACCTAGACAGAAAACGAGAAAACATTTAGTAACACATAACAATGCATGACTGTTAGCGGGTGGATACTTGTCTGCGATCGCGACAGGACGTAGATCTACATCAGGAATAGCACACCTGCCAACGCGAGCTGATGAATTTCCCCAGCCTCCCAACCCCGGGGAAACCATGTCCAAACCCAGAGCATTCCCATCTCCACCCTTTCCTCCCCCCACTTCCAAACCACTTTCCAAACTCACCAACACCCACTAGCCAAGAAAGACGAAATTACTGAACGGCCCTCAGTCTCCGACTGCTTCAACACCCCCAACCAAGGTAGCGGTTGGAACAAGTTTGAAGCAGAGGGTGCTAACAATCTCCGGAAAAAATCAGGCTACTACAAAGAGCGACAAGTGCATATTACTTCATACAATGTTAGAACTCTTATATCAGACCAGAAGATGATGAACTGGAGGAAGAGCTACAAAACATAAAATGGGACATCATCAGCCTCAGTGAAATAAGACGAAGAGAAGAAGCCCAAATTATTCTTAAATCAAGACACGTATTTACATTTTAGAGGTACAGAAGACACTTCAAATGGTGGAGTAGGATTTATTATACATATAAATCACACACAAAATATAGTTGAAATTATCAGCATAAGACCCTGGATTGTCTCTCATCTTTAAACGAAATGCAAGATATAACCTTAACTATACCAGATAAAATAGACCATCGCTACACTAACATAATCAAATATATCTACCAAAATGCCACAGCTAGCGTAAGACTCTCTGAACAAGACACAAATAAATTCTGCATACAGGGAGGAGTACGACAAAGAGACACAGTCTGACCTAAATGACCAATAAGAAGGTCACGTGGTCGATAAACTCAGTCGATTAGACAGTGTGTTTATGAATGTTATTATAAATAAAGAACCACATTGGAGGTACTGAAAGCTTGCATTCTGAAAGATGCAGTTTTGGAAGCAAAATTCAAATTTAATTGGATTTATTTAGTTTAAACATAAATTTTAAAAATTGTATAATTTTAGCGTAGGATCGTTTTATTGTCATTATATCAACGATGAGTGAAATCGAACAAAATAATAATTTATGAAAGGTGTCAACATTTTTTTTTATATAAGATATATTCAAATGATACCCACATGTATATAAATACTGTATGTACCATCTGGTATTTATCAGAATATTTATTACTTATTTATTTAAGCTCTGATTGTCAAATGTCTAATTATATTTGACGTGTAATTTATATTGTAATCAAATCTGAAATTATTATTGTTTATTTGCGTAAAGTACCTCGTCAACTATGGCCATTGGTACAGGAACTAATATTAAATATATAATCAATAATGAGAAGAAATACTAATTATATTACTTTAATATCTATTAGGTTAAATCTTGTGATAGAGTTGAGCGGTTTATAGAAACTGTATGGTTTTTGTGATCTCTGTAGAGTTGTTGAGTATTTAAGAGTAAGTTTCAATCCAGAGCTTTATATAGGTTTGTGAATTGTTTGCAGCCGGTGAGGATGTGTTACAGTCGGTAAAGATTGTAATGGTGGCAAGTTAGAAGAGTTTCAGAGAATATCAAGAAACCATGGGTAAGTTTGGTGTGGTTGATTCGGAGTCTTCTAATAGTCGATGCTTCTCTTCTAGTTAGGAAATTGTTTTGCTCTTTTGCCATAAGTTTTGCCAAGTATCCTCTACTGACTTTTTGAAAACGAATTTTAAGATTGTTAGCTAATTGAATTAAGGAAGATACCAAGAAGAATAATGGGCGCATTCTGTGAGAATGGTATTTGGAAAAGGCGATATAATTTCGAATTGTACGAGAAGTATAAAAAAATAATAAATGGTAGAGATGTAATATCTTTCATAAAAATAGGTAGGTTTAGATGGGCTGGATATGTGTACAGAGCAAATGAAAAATACCCACCCAGAAGAACTCTATTATCGGTCCCAGTGGAAAATAGGAGTAGAGGCAGACCACGACTGAGATGGAGGGACGGTGTGGACGAGGACGCAAGGAAAATCGGCGCGGCAAATTGGCAACGGTTGGCGATGAACAGAAACGACTGGCGAAATAGACTGGGGAAGGTCAAGGCTCAACTAGAGCTGTAGCACCACTGATGATGATGATCTAATTGAATTGGGATGACTCCAGTATTCTGGTTGGTAGCTTCTTTGGCAAAATGATCTGCTATTTCATTACCAGTAATTCTAGTATGAGAAGGAGGCCATATGAGAGAGGCTGTTACATCATGAGCAGAGTGATTTTGGTATATGTCATGAATGCTTTTAACTAATGGGTGGTCAGTGAAAATTGTTTGGACTGAATGAATAGTGGAAAGTATTAGTGTATTAGTAAAGCATCGTATTTTATTTACTTATCGTCGAATTTGAAGTAAATATTTTAGATTTTTCCATTTCATGAATTAGTATTCAATACGCAACTACCAAGCCGAGGAAAAACTCAAAAAATGTCCTTTTAGATCGGAAAGTATAACTCTTACACTTAATTACGCCAAAAATAGTTGCATTACTTAGTTTACCTCGTATAAATCAAACATTTAATATCTTTAGACGAAAGAAATTACAATAAAAATGATTTCATTTATTGTGACAATCGTATTTGTCTGTTCAAGGAATTCCGCTTTTTACTACAAATATTCGTTTCTGATGTAACTCATGACTGCACATTATCACTTGCGATTTCAGTTCAATATAAAAAACAAATAATTTCTAGTCGAAAGTAGGAAAGAAATATTAGCACGAGCGTATCTAAAGGAAAAAATGGGGTGTAAAATTGTTCATAATGTGTAAATATTATTGTAATAACATAATACGTGTTTTTTATATGCTTACTTATTTTAATCAATTCAGATTATTTAAGGAATTCAATTTCATTTTCCAATAATAAATCCAAAAAGGTCTCGCATTCATTTTTTATAAGATCAGTTGATAAATATGAACTGATCCACACAATTAATCAACAGCAACATGAAGTATCAACAGCAAATCTTCCTGTAGAACTAGACTATCCCTAAAAATTTTCTTAAATCTCCTAAAAAATATGTTGGAAGTCCTGGTCTCACTAATTGGTAATTCCTTTAAAAAAATGTATATTTCCTGTGTCTAAACAATTATTATTGCAAATCATGAATGTGTTGCTTGTGTGAGTCCATTTCAAATAGGTAAAGAAATAATAAATAAGACTTACTCACAATCAATTTAATTTAACTATCAGACGACCGGTTTCGCTTTCTACAATATGCAAAGCATCTTCAGGTCTCGATACAAAGTTAAATAAATGCTGAAATGATAAAAACCCATATTAGGGTGTTGTCTAATAAAGATAAACAAAGTAGATGTTGGAAATTACAATAATTATGCCAATATTACATGTCTGTGGTTTTATTTCAAAAAGAGTAAGTTGTATAAAAAGGTATAAAAGTTTTAAAAGTTTAAACAGACAAGGTAAGGCTCACAAATTGTTATAAAATAGTCTATTAGATTTTAATAAATTAATAAATGAGCAAATAAATAAACATTACTTACATGCCGGTACTAAGTAATGTCTTTTCCTTCCTAGGCCTCTCTTTCCCTCAATTTTTCCTTTCACTATAAGTTGGGCATATTGGTACTTATTATTTCTCAGTATGTGGCCTAGGTATGATGTTTTTCTTACTTTTACTGTGTTAAAAAGTTCTCTTTCCTTGCCTATTCTATGCAGCACTTCTTCGTTTGAGGTATGCGATGTCCATGAAATTTTGAGTATTCTCCGGTAGATCCACATTTCAAAGGCCTCCAATTTATTTACGGTTGATGTTTTAAGGGTCCACGTTTCAACTGCATATAGAAGAGTCGACCAGACGTAGCATTTTGATAAACGTAGTCGAATTTCGAGTTTTATTCGAGAATCACAAAGCAGTTTTTTTATTTTTTCGAAAGATTTTCTGGCCTGTTCTATTCTCGATCTTATTTCTTGATCAGGATTTAGGCTGCTATCGATCCAACATCCCAGGTACTTAAATCTATTGACCTGTTCTAAGATGTGCCCATTTATTGTGCAAGGTTGAGGTACGTTTTGGTTTTTTCGGATTGACATCACTTTGGTTTTTTTAATGTTTATTTTCATACCAAATTGCTCACAGGTCGAGTTGGTCTTGTCGATGAGTCGTTGTAGACCTGAGTCGGAATCCGCAATTAACACTGTATCATCGGCGTA